ATTGCGCAAATTGTTGTTTTTTCGCGCAAAACTGATGCGCAAAGAAAGAAAAATTTTGCGTTTCCTTCCGCAAAAATTGCGCAAAAGTTTTGCGAATGGAAACCCTAAGTTGAGAGCAGCAGAGGAAAACAAAACAAAATGGAGGATGCTGAAAACGTTACTTACCCCCCCCCCCTCTTTCCCTTGTATTTCTAGGGTTAAAGAAAATTAATCTATAAACCTAAAATTAAAACTCGTGTCTATAATATGCATTGCCTGTAGTACTCGTAAACTATATTGGCGAGAAAGTAGTTTTGCAGAGATCTTCTAGCATACACTCGGAGTTTCTTGTTTAACAGGATAGCAACACCTCAAAGAGAAAGGAAAGGTCCTTTGATTAAAAATATGGCAAGAAATCTGATGAAATACTTTGGAAAAGACCATCAATGCAAACAATAACGAACTCAGGAATGGGTGACAATCAAAAAAAAAAAAAATTAACTATTAGCCGGGTCAGGAAATTACTGTCAGGAAATTGGATATTATACTTTTAGAAGTTTGTACTTTTAGGAGTTTGTACTTTTAGGAGTTTGTACTGTCATGAGTTTGTACTGTCATAAGTTTGTGCTGTCAGGATATTTTAAGTTTTTACTGTCAGGAGTTTGTACTTTTTGAAGTTTGTACTTTTAGGATTTGCACTTTTAGGAGTTTGAACTTTGTACTTTTTTGAGTTTGTGCTTTTAAGAGTTTGTAATTTTAAGAGTTTGCACTTTTTAGAAGTTTGTATTTATCGAGTTTTTACTTTCAGGAGTTTGTATATTCATCTTCCCCCCCCCTCCCCACCCCATCCCCGCTTTCTTCTTAAGTAATTTAGAAGAAAATGTTTGTAACCCTGTATGTCAGATTTTTTCACTCAGTATCAGCAAATTTTAAGTGACCCTGCATTGATAGAGTGTTATGTCCGATTCTCAACGGTACCTTTAACAGCACAATTATGAATTAGATATTCATGTATTTGTTTTTGAAAAGCAGTTCTTGCTTGAAGAACACTGGAAAATTGACCAGTGACCGAATTTAAAGAATTTGAGCGGCGGTTTAAATTTAAGCCTCGGTTCAAATATGGTTGGTTTCACTTAAAATTGTATCAAATGTTTCAAGATTCAAGCCGGCGCTTAATCTAAACCGGGTTTTGGCGGATTTAAACCGCGGCTCAAATTCTTTTAATTCCATCTCTGAAAAACCATGATATCTTCCATTTTAATGCTCAGGTTAAGGTCTCAAGGATACCGTCCTGAATCAGTCATGCCATCTTTAAATATGGGTTCACTAAAATTTACAACGAAAGCCCTGAACACTCTTTGATTCGGTTAACAAAAAAACTTCTGTTTAAACAAGAACGTTTTTTGGACGTTAAAAAAAGATCAAAATGTACGGACGTGTCCCGCTCAGCTACCTGGAATCAGCAAACACAAAGAAAAGCCAAACACCAGCATAAAATAACCATGACGAGGCCTTGTCTCACAGCAATACCGATTCAGGTTTGAATGGAAATAAAAAATGAATTTAAAATAATGGTAAAATTGGTATTATTTTTTCTTCTCACTAATTAAAAACATTTTAAACCTTGCTAAATGATATCAATTAAATGAATAAAGTCAATTTCCATAAAAATAATCATATGATTAAAAGGTTATAAACTACAGGGTGTCCCAAGAAACATGGAAGTTCAGTGACGAATTGGATATCGTCTTTGTTATGAATTAGTATTGTAATACCTAATTTCAAAGGCCATAATGTTATTATGTCTGCTAGAGTTTATTTTATGAAAAGAGTAAAAGACTGTAAAGATGTGTCTATAATGTCTCCGCAAGATGAACAGTGAAGACGGACAAGTTTATTTTAATTGGTACCACAATATGTAATTAAGATGTTGGGGTTGATGGTTTAAAGAATTATTAAAATTACTGTTTTTTATACATGAATTCTAGTAAACAAGGCAAATAAATTGCAACATTTTTTTGGGACGACTTTTTCATACAGGTTGACAATCCTCAAGTCATTAGCTGTTTTAATGAGGTTGTCTTTAATTTGTAATTTGTAAACAAAATTAGTATTACTATGTGTTGTAGTAATACTATGTATATGATATAGTTACATTTCATCTATATATAAATTTGGCTTGTCTGTCTGTTTGTCTGTTTGTCTGTCTGTCTGTTTGTTTGTTTGTATCCAATAAACGTCAATACGGCTGAACCGATCGGCCCAAATTTTTTGTAGGACATCACGTGACCACAGGGAAGGTTTACGAATGATCAAAATTTAAAAAAATGTGTTTTAAATGTTTTTAATTTTGTAAAAAAAAACTCAATAACAACCTTTTCTCAGAAAACATGCCACCTTATCATACAAGAAGATGTTGTGTTTATAAGTGTTCAAGCAACAACACTATGGATGAAATGAAATTTTACATGTTTCCAAAGGACCCGAGTCAAAAGGAAGTTTGGAAAAATGTTGTAAATCGCCCTGACTATGCAATCAAAAATAACAGTTTTATGTGCATGTTACATTTTGCTAAATCTCAGTATACCAGAGGATTACGACTTGTACATGGTGCAGTGCCATCATGCAACCCGGAACTGGAGAATTTTATGAACTTTTCAATGTTAGGTAATAAAAGTAATTTTCAATGGATTAGGATTATGAATGTTCTCTTGAAGATTAAAAACTTTACTACGGGGTGGCCACTAAACATATCAATTGAGAGACTGCAGTTTAAAGGTCGTCTTTGATTCATGAAATCCATAAAATGAAAAAGCTTGTTTCATAACGCTTGCACAACTTATAATCTTCACGTGATGTATTTATTATTATTTTTNATCCAGAGGATAAAATGCCATGCGTACGACAGAGATGGTGCTGTTTGCACATTTTCTCAAGACCTCTAAATTTATACCTGTCTGCATATCTATATATATATTATCTTTGATTACCGCTTTCTCAGTAGGTATCACTGTACTAAATCAAAAAATTATTTAAAAAACCGATATGGAATTCGCCACTGAATTCCCATGTTTATTGGGACACCCTGTATGCTATTGAAGGGACTGCAAGCGTAAATTTAATTGACCCTCCATGCAAAGAAGGTAATGCTTGATTCACAACGATACACTTTAAACTTTTGAATGTTTATCGAGAAGATAACTGGAAAGTAGATTGACTGTAAAAAGCATTTTCAAACATTCAAAAATTATTTTTGTTATTTTTTGCCACTTTGAGAAAGTTATTATCAATATTCTTTAAGATATACCGCAGCTGACAAACAAAGTGTTTAGAATTTATAAAAGCTTTTCAATAAATTAATAGGTCCAACATCTTTGATAAAATTGAATGGAACAATGATTTTCCTATAAATCTTCCTGAGTTTAGTGTCTATGTCTGGTTTCTAAAAATGTTGTAATTTTATCCTGAAAATCTGGCTTCAAATCTCAAAATAAGAAAAGAAGTGATTTTTTCTGTAGATAAATGGTACAATTTTGTAACATTCTATCTCCTCTAGATTTTAGCGTTTAGGCCAGTTACTCCTCAGAAAATTGGGTTGTCTTTGAAAATATGTAAAGTACAAGGTGTTCCACGAAACATGACAGTAGCAAGACGACTTAAAAGTCGACTTGAATTTTGTTTTATTTGTGACATTCAGCCGTCAACCTACTTGTATGGTTCTTGAAACAATACCCACAAACTTCTTTTAGTCATCACATTTCCAAAATGTGGTCTGTCCTTTTTTGTTGTTGTTAATATTATTGAGAATTTCGTTCAGATTTCATGCACTTTTATCAAATAAAACTCAAATTGTCGAAATGTGAAAGAAATTCTTCATATTGCAACCTAATCATTAAAGATTTGTTTAAATTAGTGGCCTTAAGAAGTTGAAAAAGGGACATGTAACTAGGGATGTTAACGTTTTCATTTTTTTTTTAAACGATCGTTTTGTTATTAAAACGACGACGAAAAATCGAAAACTGAACATTTTTTAAAAATTCGTTTTTTGAAAATTTCCGTTTTTAATACGATCATTTTTTCAAAACGATTGTTTTTCAAAACAATCCATTTCAATAAACTCGTAGTTTCGTCAGCGATCGTTAACAAAGACCTTTGTTAACAACCGTTTTTATAAAATTTGTTGTTTTGTTTAACGACAACCCTTCGTTAACGATCGTTAACAACGACCCTTTATGTTAACGATCGTTAACATAATTGTCAATAATGTTTTTTTTTCAAACGCAATCGTTTTTTCAAAAGCGATCGATTTTTAAAACAATTGTTATTCGTTTTCTACAAGTTCAAAACGAGTGGGTCGTTTTTAAAAAAGATCGTTTTTTTCCGAAAACGAAACAACTATTTTTGAAAATGATTAAAAAACGAAACAAAAAACGATTAACAATTCACACACCCTTACTTCAGCTTTTTAGGGGCAAAATTTTAGGGGGGGGGGGGTGACATTCCCCCTCCAAATCCATATTAGACAAAAATAGCCTACTGCCTAATCAGGCTAGGGTTAAAGGAACTTACTATATTTTCAAAACTTTCTTGGATTTCGGTAGCAGTTGTTTCCTCCAATGTTACGTTGTAATTTCTAAAAATATTTAAACTGAATTTTAAAATTGATATTAAATGTTGTTTTGTCCATTTACACTCGAATATTTTATAATCACTAAATAAAATTATCGGCGCTGTTGACGTAATTTTATTCACAATAAATAAATTTTGAATTTTAGTTTTTTTAGAAAAATTAACTTACCGTGTAAAGATAGGGTTCAGAATATTACCAAAATCTTTTTAAATTGTCTCTTAAGATGGTTTAGAAAGGTACTTATAGAGTATATCTGTGAACATCTGGCATGGAATCTTTTACGGGAGGGGTTATTTGAAATTTAAAAAAATCAACTTACACATAATAGTGAACAGCTACTATGATGCCTCCAGTAATAGTGACACAGATGCTGGCTAAAGTTGTAAATGCTGTTGTCGTCCGCTGAGGTCTGGATGCAGCTTCGGCCTCGTATACCTCATTTATGATAAAATAAAAAGAGTGTCCCAAGAAAATTTTATTTTATTGACACTATTTTTTTAAGTTAAAGTTTCAAATACATGCTTCAGCCTCCATTAAGTGTTGTTAAAAAGAAAAACACCTCCATGATTATAACACTGTATTATGTTGGCATTAATATAACTTTGCTATATCTTTATTTAAAAAAAACGGAAGAACAATATTAAAACGATCGTTAAAACACATGTTTTAACATCGGTTTTGGATCACATATCTTCTGTCAGGGTCAAATCATTGTTTAGACCAACAATTGCAATTACTTGTGACGCACTGCAAAAATAGCAATTTCTTAAAATAGTTAAAGTTTTTTTTCTTTTTATAAATAGAACTGAGGTGGAAGCTCTTATGATTGAGAAGCTAAGATTCCTTTTATTATCGGCTTGGAAATAGTTCAAAATATAGATTTAGTCTGGGAAAGGTAAAATAAGGCATTCAGCCAGTATTGCTGAGGACTTGGGCATATGGTTTCCATCGAAATTTACGTTAAACAAAATTCGCAAAAAGGAAGAAGCGAAATTTGTTAATTTTTGTTCAAAATTTTTGCAAATTTCGATATGCTTTCGACGAAAAGTTTGACCTCATTTACGCAAAGATTTCGATCATTTTCATGAAATTTTCGTTCAATTTTCGTTCGATAAAAATCGATTTTTCATTTTCATGTTATTTAATAGATAAGGAAAACTAGCAGATATGTATCATTTGAAAATCGTATGTATGAAAACTAATAAAATAAATTGTTTATCAGTGATTTTCTGCATTTCTATCCTCACATCTGTTGTAGTGTTTAGTGTTGAATTGAGGCTTTGATGATAACCTGAAAATCTTTAACCCATCCAGATCCACCAGGGTTGGGTTTCCATTAGTCCCTGTGATATGTATTGTAAAACTGTCAAAACACAGGTTCTGGTTTCCTGTGATCCTTGTTAAACACAAGGCTGGGATCCCATCCTGCAGTTTCTGTTCCTGAGAGTGACTGCTTTTAGAATTTCTTCTAACTCTCTTGAACAGGGCTGGTCCCCTTAAACTTCTCTCTGACTTTGTACTCAACTGAAGTTATTCTTTGTTAGCTCTCCTTTTATATCCAAGGGAAAATTCACAGGAATATTTCCTGGGAATCTGCGGAAATTCCCGTGAATCTGTCACAGGAATATTCGGTGAAAATGCCGACAGCTATTCCGAGGAAATTTCTGGTAACCCATTCCGAGGAATTTCTCGGAATAGCTGTCGACATTTTACTTTATGAATACCAGACTAAATCTATTTTTAGACCTTCTTCTAGTCATTAGATTTCATAATTTATACCTATTTAGAAAACCAACGAAAAAAGGAAGAAAAAACGTATATAAAGGAATTTAGAAATTTTTTAGTTTTCCTTGAATAAACATTTAGTTTTTGAAAATATGGCAACGAATTTTTCATTTTTAAAATGTTAAATTTATCATAGTTTGCGGACTTTTTGTTTTGTTTTGGTATTTGAAATTTTGCTATTTTTTGGCAATATCATAAAAGTAGAGCTCAAGGAGCCCACCAGAATATTTCGGGTAAATGACCCATTTCGGTTGACAGACCCTTTTTGTTTAATCATTTAGAAAAATTGATTTTGTTCGTTCCCATTTTGGTTCATTTTCCATGTATCTTGTTTTTTTTTTGCTGAAAGATTGTTCAGTAAAATTGTTCTTTCAGTAAAATTTTTTTTTATCTTAGGTT